GTTTTGTAGGTTAGGAGATACAAATACCCAATTTTTAATGATTCTAAGTTCAAAGTATGGTGAAGCCTTCCTCCTGTACTCACAAATTTTTATACCTAAGCTATTCCCAGTCTGGGTTTTATATCCCTTGGGAACTTATTTTCTCCAACAAACATCTTCTTAATAAGTAAAGAAATTTGGTAAGCTCTTTACTCTTACACAATGTCTATTTTATTTACCTTTCTTCATTTGGCATATAAGCAACCAATATAGCTACTGAAACATCAGCAGGCAGTTTAAAAATGCTAGTAGTCCAAGGAATAATCGGAACCAAAAAGAATGGGTTCTGCTTGTATTTGAGGTCACAGAGATTTGAAAAAAAGGCTGAAGCAATGTTTGGAAGAGGCAGAAAAAAAACCCCAAACCAAAAACCCCAAACAAACAACTAAGATAAATTAAACATTTTATAAAATATGCTGTAAATAATAGCTAATATTTATGTAGCACTTACAATATGCCAGGCATTGTATTAAAGCACTTTGCAATTATTATCTCATTTGATCCTCACAACCCTAGGATGTAGGTGCTATTATTGCCCCATTTTACATTTGAGGAAACTGAGGCAAGCAGAGGTTAAGTGACTTGCCCAGAATCACATAGCTAAGAAGTGTCTGAGGCCACATTTGAATGAAGATCTTCCTGAATCCAGGCCACATGTTCTACCACTGAATATCCTAGCTACCTCAAAAAATGGTATAGAAAGTAGCATGATATTATGGATTTGGAGCCTAAGCATTTAGATTTGAATATCAGCTCTGCTCCTTCTTGTATAGGTTACCTTGTACAAGTCACTTCACTTTTCTGAGGCTCAATTTTCCAACCTGAAAAATAAGGAATTTAGACTAAATATACTTAAATATCCTTTCCAGCTCTAACTCCTATGCTTCTAATGAGAGTAAATTAAAGTGATTTTTTTAAAGTGACTAAGCTAATTCAAATGTAAGTTAAAATTCTAGAACCACCTCCTCAATCTCAGCAAACATTTCATAAAGGGTCCCTTTCCATAATAGGTTTCTTTGCAATGGAGACACTGCCTGTTTAAATATCTTTTTGATTCTATAAGCAATCTTATAATTGAGCATTGAAAGAACATTAAATGATTCTGACATTTTGTGTCAGGTGTCACAATAAGAATCTTGTCTGTGCCCTCAATTGAATTTTCAGATCCTGCATTTGCTCAGCCCATTCCTTCTTCCTGAAATTGTTTCCTTCTGGCCCTCCTCCTCCTTATGAGACCTTCAGTTACACGCATGCGCATACACACACACACACACACACACACACACACACACACACACACACATACACACACACACACCCCTACATCTTCCAGTTAAAAGTGATTTCTCCCTCCAATTTTTGATGGCATAGAACAAGGATTATATCATAGATGATAGAGTTTCAGAACATGTTTGTCTCAGACCTCAAAGTACTCCAAACCCTTTTAACCTAATGCACATTTTTTTCCTGGTATTGTTTGACATTTGACAGGCTTCATTTATTCTGAGAGGTAAATTACCTTCAATAGGAGTAAAAAAACCCCATGTGATCCTAGATTTAGAGCTGCAAGAGACTTTAGAGGTAATCACATGCAGTCCCTTCATTTTACATATGAGGAAATTAGGGCTTTTTAAGGTTGTGACTTCAAAATTTAAAAGAAAATTATTGAAAATTTTCCCCTGTGGGATCTTTAAGAGATGTAATACAAAAAGAAGCAGCAAATTCTTTCTAATGCCAGCAGTAAACATGTAAAGTTTTATTTAATCTTTTTTTTTTTGGTTAGGCAATGGGGTTAAGTGACTTGCCCAGGGTCACACAGCTAGTAAGTGTTACATGTCTGAGGTCATATTTGAATTCAGGTCCTCTGAATCCAGGGCCAGTGCTCTATCCACTCTGCCACTTAGCTGCCCCAATCTTGTTCTTTCTAGATAACTCTTGAACCCTGCAAAAAAAAGGAAAGTCCTGGTAATCTCATTATAACAGGCAGGCATGGAGAACTGGGTTGGGAGTTATGCCCCAGAGAATAATTGCTTGCTATCTAGGATTTGATGTTACAAATGCTAAGTGGATATGAGATTGAATGTTACCCAAGCATATTCTGCATTATGGGAAGAGAGACCATCTCTTTGCTAGATTTCTAAAAATTCTGCTTCAAGAAATGTTAAACTTACTATATGGTATACAGCTATTTTTAATAGCATAGTGATAAAGATGAAGCATAGTACCAAAGAAAGGTAGATTAGATGTGTAAGCCCAAATATTATTTGGTGCATTAGCTTCCCATGACTCATAGTGGTACAGAGGTATCCATGTGTCTTCAAAGATTTTGTCAGTGGAGTATAAGCTCTGACAGCCCCAACCTAATTAGAAACACTTTGAGTGCAGGTCTTCAAGTGAGGTCTGTCATCAGAGGACTAACCTAGTAGAGTACAGAGGCTCATTGCAACAGTTCTCAACCAGGTGAAGACCTCACTTTTAGGTCATGGCAGCTCATGAAGACCTTATAACTATATAGAAAGCTGATGTTCTGTCCTGAAGGATCATACTCAACTACAAAGTCAGAAAGCCTAGAAATTTTGTTTGCAATTATGCAAGACATTTCCATATTAGTCATTTTGTACAGGAAGATTAAAAAAAAAAGAGGAAAAAACAGAAAGAAAGTGAAAAATAGAATGTTCCAGTCGATCAATGTCAGTTCTTTTTCTGGAGGCTGATAGTATGCTTCATCATTAGTTTTTTGGGATTATCTTGGATCGTTGTATTGCAGAGAATAGCCAAGTCATTCATAGTTGGTCATCCTTATATTATTGCTGTTACTGTGTACAACATTTTCCTGGTTTTGTTCACTTCACTATGCATCCATTCATGTACATCTTTCCAGGTTTTTCTGAAATCATTCTGCTTGTCATTTCTTATAGCACAATAATATTCCATTACAATCATATACCATAGCTTGTGTAGTCATTCTGCAACTGATGAGCATCTTTTTGATTTCCAATTCTTAGCTACCACAAAAAAAACCTGGTATAAATATTTTTGTACAAATAGGCCCTTTTCCATTTTTTTTGAATGTCTTTAAGATACAGACATTGCTGGATTGAAGGATATGCTCAGTTTTATAATCTTTTGGACATAGTTCTAAATTGCTCTCCAGAATAGTTGGATCATTTCACAACTCTACCAACAATGCATTAGTGTCCCAGTTTTCCCACATCCCTTCCAAAATCCAACATTTTCATTTTTTGTCATATTAGCCACTCTGTTAGGTGTGTTGTGGTACCTTAGAGCTGTTTTAATTTGCATTTCTCTAATCAATAGTGATTTAAAGCATTTTTTTATATGACTATAGATAGTTTTGATTTCTTTGTCTGAAAACTGCCTGTTCATATCCTTTAACCATTTATTAATTGGGGAATGACTTATATTTTTATAATTTTGACTCAGTTCTCTATATATTTGAAAAATGAATCTTTTATCACATATATTTATAAAATTTTCCCCCAGTTTTTTGCTTTCCTTATAATTGTGGTTGCATTTGTTTGTGCAAAAACTTTTAAATTTTATATAATCAAAATTGTCTATTTTACAGGTTGTAATGCTCTCTCTAATCTTCTTTGGTCCTAAATTCTTCCTTTATCCCTAAATCTGATAGATAAATGATTCCATGCTCTCTTAATCTGCTTATGATATCATCCTTTATATGTAAATCATATACCCATTTTGACCTATGTTGGGGTACAGTGTGAGATGCTGTCTATGCCTAGTTTCTGCCATACTGTTTCCCAGTTTTCCCAGCAGTTTTTGTCAAATAATAAGTTTTTGTTCCAAAAGCTGGGATTCTGGGTTTATCATATACTAGATTACTATGTAGTTATATTTATTATAATATAATTTGTACCTAATCTATTCCACTGATCTATCACTCTATTTCTTAGCCCGTACCAGATTGTTTTGATAATTACCACTTTATAATACAGTTTGAAATTTGGTATGGCTAGACCACTTTCTTTTGCATTTTTTTTTTCATTGATCCCTTTGATATTTTTAAGCTTTTATTCTTCCAGATGAATTTTGTTATTATTTTTTCTAGCTCTATATAATAATTTTTGATAGTTTGGTTGGTATGGCACTGAATAAATAGATTAATTTAGGTAGAATTGTCATTTTTATCATATTGGCTCAGCCTACCCATGAGCAATTAATATTTTTCTAATCATTAGATCTGACTTTATTTCTGTGAAAAGTGTTTTATAATTGGGTTCATATAGTTCCAGGGTTTGTATTGGCAGGTAGACTTCTGATATTTTATATTGTCTACAGTTATTTTAAATGAAATTTCTCTATATTTTGCTGCTGGATTTTGTTAGTAATATCCAGAAATGCTAATAATTTATGTGAGTTTATTTTGTGTCCTGCAACTTTGCTTAAGTTGTTAATTATTTCTAGTAGCTTTTTAGTTGATTCTCTAGGATTCTCTAAGTATAACATCATATCATCTGCAAAGAATGATAGTTTTGTTTCTTCATTGCCTATTCTAATTTCTTCAGTTTCTTTTTCTTCTCTTATTGCTATAGCTAACATTTTTAGTACAATATGGAATAATGAAGATGATAATGGGCCTCTTTGCTTCATACCTGATTGTATTGGGAAGGCTTCTAGCTTATCCCCATTACAAATAATGCCTGCTTATGGTTTTAGATAAATATCACTTATCATTTTAAGCTCCATTTATTCCTATGCTCTCTAGTGTTTTTAATAGAAGTAGGTGCTGTATTTTGTCAAAGAGCCTGGAAATACTGGAAGTATTTAAATCAATTGTGTGTGTATGCATACATAAAACCAAAGATTAAACTTTAACCAACAGTATAAGTCAATTATGCTCACCATAATTTGAGACATTATCCCTGTTAAGTATTTGAGGATGTGGCTTGTCTCTAAGTAGTCCATTTTGTTATACTTACATATGAGTCATCTTACTCAAATTGTAGAATGAATGGGCCTCCAGTCTTTGTAGAGTTACATCTATGGATAAGTAGCTAAATGCCACAAAAATATAAAACAGAAAGGGAAATTAATACTTATTAAGCAAAAACATACTATCAGTTTATGGGTAACCTATGAGTCAAAAACTCCAGATATTATAACATGACAAATTTAATATAGGATATGTATGTGTATATATGTGTGTGTGTGTGTGTGTGCATATATCTGTACATATATATATATATATATATATATATACACACACACACGTGCGCATGCACACATACACACATACACACTTTTCTAGTAATACTATGATCTCTTATGCCAAGATCATATTTAGGTCTCATGAAGCACTTTGCTCTAAAACATTGATCATTTCTCTATCGGGGCAGAGGGATGTGGGGGAGGAAAGGGAGGGAAGGGAAAGAATATGGACCTGAAAATAAAATAGAATTTTTCTTACAAAACCCACTTCATGTAACATAATGAATTCTGTGTAGTTATCTGTATTTGGTGTATATCCCTGTACTAGAAAGTAAACTGCCTGAAGGCAGGGAATAAGTCTTATCTAACTTTGTATCTCCTATAGTGCTAAGCATAGTGCTCTGTATACAAATGATTTTTGATAAATGCTTGCTGTTGTCTTTTATTTGTATATCCATAATATTTTTTAAAATTATTTTATTTTTAATTCATGGAACAAAATAAGCATTTCCATAACACAGTAAAATTAAAAAAAAAAGATTACATGTGAAATTGCAGATCTACCATGTTAATTCTAGCTGGTCCTTCAAGTGCAGGCTGTGTGAGGTTTGTCTACTGAGGACTAGCCTATCAAAGTTCTGAGAAGTTCACTCATCACTAGAGAGTTGGCCACTGGGGTAATGATTTTTGATCTCAGCAGTTTAGAACAGTTTTCATCTGAACTGAAGAGCATGAGAGAATATGTTGGGCATCTGGGTGGTGCAAAGAATAGAGTGCTAGACCTGGAATCAGGAAGATGTGAATTCAGATCCAGCCTCAGATGCTTTTGTGTAGACCTGGGCAAATCACGTAACCTCTCTCACCTTCAGTTTCTTCATCTGTAAAATGAGGATAATTATAGCATCTTCCTCTCAGAATTGTTGTGAGGATAATTGAGATAATATTTGTAAAGTATTTTGTGAATCTTAGAGCGCTATATAAATGCTAGTTATTATTATTGATGGGTAGAGGACTGGTCTTAAAAAGTTAGGAAGATCTGGGTTCAAATCCTGCCTCTGACATGTACTGGCTGTTTCTCCGGGCATGCCATTTATTCTTTCAGTGCCACTCAAGCAATTCTCTCAGACTCTAAATTACTAATAAGTACTTAAGCTGCATCAATGGGAGCAGTTTTTATACCAAGAGTATCCTATACCAATGAAATCATACATCTGGACTCCTTCAACACACTCCCTCCCAGAGTTGTCACAGTAAAAAAATAGGACACCTTATTAAAGGAAATCAAAATAATGGGTATAATGTTTAGAACGAGAGGTAATATGTCTTAGTCGGCAGAGATAATGGTCTAGGAATAAGGATGACTTGGGGGTCCAGTTACCATCTCTGATATATACTGGTTGTGTGACTCTGGGAAAATCACTCAACCAGTGCCCTGGCCAGCTCTCCTTAAGTTGTAGGACAGTTGTCAATATACATTGTTCCAGGCATTTCCTCACTGGGAGATCCAAACACCAATGAAACTACAAGTCGGTAGTAACAACAACAACAACAACACAACAACAATATTTCAGTCTGATAGAGGGAGCTTAAGAATAAACAAAATGAGGGGAAAGAAACATAACAAAGGTACTTCCTGGACTAATTAGAAGAATAGCTTTTGGTACAACCTTTGCAATCATCTCTTCTTGATTTAGGATCACTGATTTAGAGCTGAAAGGTGCCTTACAGAGCACTGAGCCTAACTCCTTCATTTTAGAGATGAGGAAACTGAGGCTCAAAAAAGTGAAGTGACTTTCTGAGGGATTTAGCAAGGAATCTAATCTATATCCTTCCTCAAGAAGAGTACAGATTCTCTTTAAAGAACACTGGGGGCTAAGAAAAATAAAAAATTTAAGGTTTTAGTATCAAGGAACAAATATCCAAACAATCTTGTCAATAAAATGAAAGTTAATGATGATAACTGAAAAAATCTTCTCAACTCCCCTTTTGCAGTGGAAATGATTGATGCAGTAATCCAGATGATTATTTTCTAATGAGATGGATTTCTCTGAAATTCTAGAAATGTGACCACTAGCAAATGGTGCTACAGCTTCACTTTGACCTGTCTGAAGAGCGGTTCCATAGATAAAATCTTTAGAAGTGGAACATTAATTTTTGAATTCTTTTCATGCTGCTTATTATTGATTCCAATGATACTCTAATTTCCTTTTTGAATTGCCTGTGCTTTAACCAATCATCCTTTGATTTACCGGGTCTCATGATTAGAGTCCTTTGGGATAGGATGGGATGACAACATCATAAGATGCTTTAGAATTAAATATCATGTGGAGAGTCAGGGGAGATGCCTCAAGGAAAGGAGGGACATTAAAACACAGTAATTTCACTGTGTATAGATAGGGTTAAATTTGTGGATTGTTTAGGGTTTTGGTTTTTTTTTACACTGGAGCTATCATTTAATTGGAATAGGGAACTCCCAGTAAAGAAAATCCCTTTACCAACATAGAGTGGCATCTGTTCTGCAACTTATGGTTAGAAAGAATTACCCAGAGTTAAGCAACTTTGCCCAGGGTCACACAGCCCATGTGTCAAGATCAGGACTTGAACCAAGGTCTTCCTAACTCCAAAGGTGGCACTCTATCTCTTACCTCTACGGAGTAATAAATAAATAAGTAAGTAAGTAAATAAATAAATAAATAAATGCACACACAGACACACACACACACACACGTATATATACACATATATGTATATATGTGTGTGTGTGTGTATAGTAGTACAGTTTCTTTTTAAAGAGTAAAAACTTAACCTCCCGAACTTTGCATATTATCCTTAGCTCTAACCATTCACTGCTAACACATCTTGTTTAGCATCCTTATACAGTGGAAAGAACACTAGATTTGGAGTCAGAGACTTTAAGTTCAAATTCCAATTTGGTCATGTATTCTGTTCCACTTAACACAATTCATTTTACCTCTCTATGCTTCACTTTTTTTTAACCCATAAAATTAAGGGGGTTGAACTTGCTGAGCTTACAAGTTTCTTCTGACTCTAATCTTTTGTTCTGTGATTCTCAAAAGTACTGTCTATAGGGATAACTATAAAACTCCATCGTATTCCTAAAGAATAAAGAACCAATATACCATTTCAATAAACACTAGTTGTCCTTGTTGGTGTCATTGGTACCTGTGAGTTCCATTAGAATCTTCATGCATATGATTCTCAGCTTTAGTTATCTAACCCTAGTCTCTCTCCTGAGCTCCAGTCCCACATCACCAAATGCCTTTTGGATATTTAGGATTGGATGTCCCATAGACATCTCAGGCTCCAGTGGCTTCCCTGTTACCTTCAGGACCAAATAGAATTCCCTCTCTTTGGTATTTCACACTCTTCATAATCTGGCCCCTTCCCTACATTTCCACTCTTCTTGCATATAATTTCACGTGCCATACCCTTTGATCTAGCTATAACCATCTCTGGACCTTTGCAATAGGTGTTCCCCCTATCCCTGCCCTACCCTCCAACTGTTCTTGAAATGCTCTCCCATCTCACCTCTGTCTCTTAATTTCCCTGGCTTCCTTTAAGTCTCAGATCAAATTTTATCTTCAGGTGGAAGCCTTTCTTGTCCCTCTCAATTGCTACTGCTTTCCCCTTTGAGCTATCTCTTATCTACTCTGTATAGTCTTGTGTCGATCTAGTTATTTACATATTGTCTTCCCAATTAGAATGTAAGCTCTTGGAAGGCAGGGACCATGTTTTTGCATTTCTTGATATTCTCAGTACATAGTACAGAGCCTGGTACATGGTAAAGGCACAATAAATCCTTTTTCATTGATTGGCTGATAGCTCCTACAGGAGCTTTGCAGTTCTCTAGTAAAGAAAACATGGGACTACATACATCCCTAGTATAGTTTAGAGTAGATAATTCTAAATCAGGAAGATGCTGGAGATTCTGATATTAATCCCTCTAGAAAGGAATCAGTTCTCTTTTTATCCTTCAAATTCTTTTTCATTTTTGTCTTTTTGGGGTTTTTTTTAGGCAATTGGGGTTAAGTGACTTGCCCAGAGTCACACAGCTAGTAAGTGTCAAGTGTTTGGTCTGAAGCTGGATTTGAACTCAGGTCCTCCCGACTTTAGGGCCGGTGCTTTATCCACTGCGCCACCTAGCTGCCCCAGTCACATTATAAGCTTTTTATAACAAGAATGGAAAAATGGGTCTTTCTGCAAGTCAAAGTAAGCAAATGAAGTGATCAAGAGACCTGTTGCTAGGATTTAAGAGCTCTGATGTTTTTTAAAAAAAAATCTTTGCTTTGAATTTGCAAATTTAGAGCACAAACATATTGAAAAGAAATTATTTACCTTTTAGAACAGATAGCTCTTGCTTGGGAAGCTGCATGGATATGACTTGGATAGCTATAGTTTAAGGGAGCTTAAACAAACACTAATTTTATATGTTTATTTGGGTGAATTTGTACCCATCCCCCAAAGTGAATCCAAATTGGAAGTTTTCTTCTCAGTTTCTACCTTAAAACAAAGTGAACTAGACCAAGTATAAATTAAATCCTGGTGGTGGTAATACAGAAACTTTGACCTTTATGTTTTTGCAACTTTTGTGTAACTGATTGGGTTGGTAAAGGTAACACAACAATGTAACTCAACAGGACTAAGACCCATAGATGGACTTATTTGGAGTTTTTTGACTACTTAAAACTATAGTTTTTTAAAGAGCCTTTTCATACATTACTGCAATATTTAATTTTGTTCATCCATTTGTATAAGGTAATGGTTTCATTTTCACATGTTACGAACCATGATGTGTGTGATAAATGCCTAACAATGCTGGTGTTTTTTTTTTTTCCAGCAGAGTTGATTCTCATGACTCCACTTCTGAAACACTTGACTATTGGTCAATTAGTTGGAAGCTTGGAGTCAAATTTTATACATAGTCTGAGGAATGGCTAGTTGCTCCCTTTTACAACTTTTTAATTTTTTTTACAAGGCACTACTTTACCAAAAGAGATCATAGAAGTTTCTCAAACATTTTATTTTGACATATGAGTAGGGCTTTCTAAGATGGTTTCAGCATCTCCCTAATCTGAGGAGAAACATGGACTTAGATGACTTCTTGTCTATCTTCTAGTCTTATGAAGCTATTTTGTTTCAGAATGTGGGAGTTGAATAATAAGTTTACAATTCAAAATTTCCACATACACTTTGATAGCTCCCAGATTGTCTTTAGAAGAATTAGCCTACGCAATATTTCTTATCCATAGTCTCTGACCTTCAGTAAATAAGAGATGCATTTTCTCAATCCTTCTTTGAGACCAGGCATTTTATCATTTTTTCCATTTACATTGTAGTCATTACTGTATAGTTCCTGGTTCTGGTAACTTCCTCTGCATCAGCTCCTGTAAGTCTATTTATATTTCTCTAAATTCATCTTATCCCTGTTAACTATATATCAATGGGCATTGCCTCAGTCAAACTGAGACCTGGGAAAGACTTTAGCTTAAAAAGGCCAAGGTCTCTCTCTGCATCCGGGGCCATTTCTAGTTCTCCTGACCTATATCTGGCCCCTGGACCCAGGTGGCTCTGGAGGAGACTTTGCATAGCCCTCCTACACTTAAATCCGATTCACTTGCAAGTTATGACATCTCCTTCCTAATGTCATGGTCCTCTTTGAGAGTGAAGGACAAACAACAACAGGTTACAGTGATATTTAAATCTCTAAATTAACTTCTTTGTTGATGCACTTAAAAACAAAACAAAAAATGTATAATTTGTAGATGATGGACAGCATGGTTGTGGAAGGAAAGCAAGAGAAAACCTAAATATTCATAGCAGCATAGTGTACCACATAGATGTTAACAAGTGTTTCTGAGACCATCCTTTAGAGAGATGGGAATTCTATTCTGAAACTAAATTGGTTAGGAAGTTAGAGTCACTTTACAGGAGAGAGCAAGCTATCTCATTCTCTCCCTTTCTGTTCCCTTTTTTTCTCTCTCCTTGCTCCTCTTTAACCTTACAACCATTTTGTCTTTTCTCTTCCTCTAAGTTTCCTTCACCTTCTCCTTAATGGGGGGGGTGGGGAGGGAAGATTACAACAGCCTGCCTTGTTGGGAGGGGGAAAAGGTGCCCAGCCATATTGGAATTGCCGTATTCCATTTCCATCAGGTTATTCCTCCACCCCTCTCACCTCTCTCGCATTCAGCCAACTCATCTCTTTTTTCAGTTGTTTAAGGATGTTTGGAATTTGGGGCTTGGAGTTAATCTCAGGAAGCTATGCTGGTGAGGCAGATCTCACAGAAAGGAAGAAACAAGCATTTAGTAAGCTTTTACTATGTGCCAGGCACTCTACAAATATTATCATTTGTTCCTCACAACAACCCCGGGAGACAGGCGTTATTATTATCCTCTTTACAAGGATAATACAAGTTGAAGAAACTTGGGCAGACAGAGGTTAAGTAACTTGCTTAGAGTCACACAGCTAGTGTCAGAGGATAGATTTGAATTAAGGTCATCCTGACCCCTGGTTTAGTACTCTAGCCATTGAGCTACCTAGCTGCCTCCTAGAAATTAAAGATCATAGAGTCATAGACTGAGCTGAAAGGAACTTCAGGGCTATCTGGTCCAATCCCCTCATTTTTACTGAGGAGGAATTTGAGGCCCAAGAAACTTGAGTGGCCTTGGGGTCATACATGTAGTAGGTGACAGAAATTTAATCCAAGTCCTCTGTCTTTAAAGGCAGCACTGGGTCGACACTTTCATAAGCCCAAGATTTTCATCATCTGTTAGGAGATGGAGAAGATTTGGGGTGATTTTCTTTAGATTTCAGTTTCAATCTCCAAAGGCCTAGAAGTTATCATATAGATGTTTGATTAGAAACCTCATCAATGTTCCCATTCTGAGAGACCTTCTGTCCTCTCATCAGGATGGTATGCTGAGTGCAATGACCTCTAGAGGCATGGGCTAGAATAGATCCCGTATAATATGATGTGCTTTACAGGGGATTGATGACCAGGATTTTAGTAGAGAAAACAAATGCTAAGGTTTGTGCAACCAGGAATCAGTCTATTATCAGGAATTTACAATAATTAGAGAGAAGAGATAGCATAGGATTTAGAGATAAGTCAGATAAACCTGGAGGGTCAGTAGTGTCAAAAATCAACCCAAATTGTTGCGTCCTGCCTAAAAGGAAGTAAAATGTTAGGGTTGAAGCTAAGGGCTTTATATGAGTTATATCTTAATTAGTATATATATATATATTTAACAATATGACATTCCTTTCTTGCTTTCTTACAGTGTATCCCTATGCCTTCTAAATTACCTTTAACTCTAGTAACAAAGATTTCTGACAACATAACAGCTTTGTTGAAAAGTAGTAGGGTGGGGGGGCAATTGATCCTTTCACTCCACTTAAAATAACTAATGAAAAACTCTAGCCAGATAGCTTTATCAGGTGAGAAAATCTCTATTGAGTCATCAGTCAAAGGCATGAAACTGTATATCCTTGTCATGCCCTACAGATCTTCTATAAAATAGCTAGCCAGTTCAGAACCCAAATTTAAGTATCTGCCTGGCAGGTTTTGATTGGCAAGCTTTGATTGTAAACTCTTTGAGGTCAGAGAATATCTTTTGCCCTTTTTTGTATCCCTAGCATTTAGGACAGTGCCTAGCACATAGTAGGTGCTTAAAAAGTGTTTATTGAATTGAGTTTAATAGAGGAGAGTAATGAGGTGCAAAGCTGACTTCACAATTAAATGTGACCCAGGTGTCTTGCTATTTTTGTTATTGTTGTTCAGTTGTGTCTGACCCTTCATTACTCCATTTGAGGTTTTTTGGCAGAAATACTGAATTGGTCTGCCATTTCCTTCTCCTGCTCATTTTACAGATGAGGAAACTGAGGCAAATGGGATTATATGTATTGCCCAGGATCATGTAACTTATAAATGTCTGAAGGAAGATTTGAGCTCAGGAAGAGGGGTATTCCTGACCCCAGACACAGAACTCTATCCACTGTGCCACCTGGCTGCCCTGATGTCTTGCTGTTTCAGTGATTCATTTTTTTTTTCTTTTTGCATTCTTTGTGCTTCCTCTGCTAAATTCTTTTTCTGATGTCTCATTGTGAACTGGAGGAGATCCTGGGTTTTCAAAGACTGTATCAGCGGACTCTGTGCTCTTGTAGATTCTATCAAGCTAAAGAAACATCAGCTAAGGGCCTAGTGATGAATACTGTCTTTCATTTGAAGACCAATGTGGCTAAGCTCAGAGAGACTTGTTATCAAATTGGTCACTAACAGGAATTGTTTGGCCATAGGTTGGTGTATGCTGCATTGGTGGAAGGAATGCTCACATCAACAAAATAACAGGTCTTTAAATATTGCATTACCTAATAGACCTTGCAGAATATTCTTAAAAGTTAGCATGCTAAAATTTTGCCTTTTTTAAATTAAAATTTTAAGGAGGATTTGATTGGAATATGAGAGATGACTGACAGAGGGAGAAAATCTCTTTAGGTGGTAGGTAAAGGTATGAAAAGGATTGGAATGGTGGGAAGTGTACAGGTAAATGGTAGGTCCGTGGAACTGAGGTCATGAGTAACAGGGACCAAATAAGTTGGCTATGGAATACAGCATGCTTAAAAACTCTGCACTGTGATAAGAACTGTTCATTTGGGAGTGATAATTTAGGAAAGGATCATGTTATACTTGATTTATATAGTATTTTCAGTTATTTCACATGAAATATTTTATTTGATCTCTATAAAGGTAAATTGGGTGAGTATTTTTATCCCCATTTCATAGATAAAGAAAGCAAGACACAGAAAGATGAAGCAGTTGTTCAATGATAGCCAGTTAGTTATTGATTAAGCCTGGACTAGAATCAGATCTTCTGACTCCAAGTTCAGTGTTCTTTCCACAATGTATTCTCTATTATATTGAAAAGCCTGAAGCCTTTGAAACCACTCAGCCTCTGGTTACTAGAATTTAATTCTATCCATTTATCTGGGAAATTCCATTCATTTTAAGAGATACTGTGAAAGTCTAAGAACTAAATGAATTTGAATTCATTCTTAATTTTCAAAGTTAAGTTAATTGCAACTTTAAAAAACCTTAGAACTGCCATATATGTCTAGGCAAAATACGAAAGATGGGAACATGCAATCAGACAAATATTGTTAGATTTTCACAATCTTTAAATCGTTAGGAATAAGTAGTTTTGTGGGAGTACAGTATGTAACAAATAACTTCTTTGAATGTTATACAACTTTTTAAAAATGGTAAATGAAAGTTTATTCTTTTAATGTTAAAGTATAACTTACATCCTGGAAATGTTGGGCAGATTTGCAAATGCATCACTAGGGATGGTTTTCAGATGAGTCTCTGTGAATTTCCTATGGAGTAAAAAACAGTTGATCAGTTACAATTTTAACTCACCTGATTTATATTCAAGGAACATTTGTTAAGCTTAGTAGGCTATGATCAAGTCATTGCACATAGAATATTCTAAACACTGATCCTCATTACAAAAACATTAATAAAAAAACAGAGGATCTCCTTTTGTTACCATGCCTGACCTTGGTATTGGATTAGTTGCAAAGGCCTAACTTTTCAAATTCTGCAACATCTCCATCATACATCTGGGATTGTCGTGAGGTACCCAGCCACGCTCACTCCACTCCCACCTCAAGTCACTCTGTAGATTTTTCATTCTCCTAACCATCAGCGCTGTCTCCCATCCTTCTTTCCAACCCCAATTTTTTTGTCTTACCATATTCAAAGTGTAGCAGAAATAATAATAATTGATAGCGTTTATATAATACTTTAAGATTTGCAAAGTGCCTTACATGTTTTATCTCATTTAATCTTCACAGCAGCCTTGTGAGATGAGGAAACTGAAAGGATAATGGCTTACCTAGGACCACATATCTAATAAGTGTCTGAAGAATTTGAACTCAGGTCTTCCTGACTCCAAGTCCTACACTCTATTCATTGTACCATGTAGTTCCCTTCAAGCTGCCATGAATGCAGTTCTTTTAAGAATAGGGGCCGTCTTGTTTTCTAGTATTTGTATCCTCAGCACTTAGTACAGTGCCCGGTACATAGAAAGAAATTTTAAAATGCTTGTTAGATCCATCCATCTATCTATCATCTATATATCTAGGTATGTATCTATTTGTCTGTGTCACATGTAGCTCCATTCCTCTTGAAATCACCCTAGTTCAGGCCCTGATCTCTTCTCCTAGAATCCTGTAATAGCCCTTTAGCTGGTTTTCCCTCCTTCAATCCATCCCCTCTCCAGTCTGCTTTCCACATTTCTGTCCAAGGTGATCATTCCAACATGACCATGGCACTTCTCTACTCAAAACCTTCCAGCTCACATTACTGCCCCTGCCCCCTTCATATGCCCTACATTCCAGAGAAGAAGCACTGCTATCCATTGCCCACTCTTGTCGTGCCCTCTCTCATATTCTTCCTTTGTATATGGCATTTCTAATGCTAGGGATGAATTTTCTCCCTACCCTCCATCTCCATCAGTTGAAGTCCTTCTCCAAACACCATCTTAAACACCTTCTTCTTTATGAAGCCTTCTTTGTCACACACACACACCCACACACACACCCTCATGGGCACATTGCTTGAGCCTTTCTTTGGTACTTCACTCACACACCTTTGTCCCATAGTTAATGGCATGCTTGGCCTTCCTTCCACTAAGGTTGTTGAGAATGGAGACTGTATCAAATCTATCTTTGTATCCCATTGTGCCTAGCACAATGCCTTGAAAATAGTGGGCAATAACTAATATTTGTACATCTGAATTGAATTTAGCATTATTTTCACCTCAATTCATAGCTTTTAGTCTATTAGGTTACTATTTGTCATTCTACGTCACTGGGTTTTATTTTATTTGAACTCTGTTACTACAGTGATTGAAATGAATATAGAACCTGCATAATCAAAGAAGAAGCAGGACCAACCTCATTTATTTATGTGACCTACTAGCCTGCAGGGGAGTAAAGAAACAAATGAGGTTAATGACAAAAGAGTAGTTTGTTAGCTACTCAGAACCCAAGGTGTTTTATTATGAAGCATGATTCTGTCTTTATTGCCAGTCCAGAAATGCTACCAAATACTTATCTCAGCTTGGAGGTCTTTAGTTTAACTCACCTTAACTGGATCCAACTGGCAACTTGTTAGGTAAGAAACACAGTTTGTAAGCTGAAAATGTTTACAAAATAAAACAGTGCCCATTACAGAGAATTTAATGTAAGGCACCATTTAAGAGGGTGTTAATCTTCAAACATCCTCTCCCAGGTCTAACAATAGCTGCTTTCATACCTATTATTTCATTTTATTCTCCCAGCAAACTTTTGAATTAAAATGAAATAAAAGATTCCATTTGAATACCCATTTATTCAGTGATCAAATTCTACAAGCATTTATAACTATAGACAGACATTATACTAGATGCTGAAGATACAAAGATGAAATCAGATACAGTCTTTGCCCTCAAGGAGCTTAAAATCTAGGAGGGAAGATAAAACATGCCAAACAGATAGCTATAATGTAAATCATAAAAATACAAAGGAGAGGTTCTGGTTAATTTAAGAGGGAGAGATTACTACCAAATGGGAGGAATCCAGATAGGTTTCATGGATGGGGCGGCCCCTAAATTGGGCCTTGAAGGAAAGTCCATTAATAACAATAACAAATTGTATCAATATTAGTATCTGTATAGCATTTTCAGCTTATAAAGTGCTTTTCTGCCAATAGTCTTCTGAGGTAGATTGTGTCAGTGTTATTCCCAAATTATTATTCCCATATTCTAGTTGAGAAAAATGAAGCACACAGAAGTCATATGAATTGCCCTTTGTTGCAAAGGTAGTATGTAGCACAGCCACAACTCAAACCAGATCTTCTGACTCCAAGTCCAATGTTCTTTTTACTAGACCAGTTATCTCCAAATTTTTTTGATTGTATACCCCATCATCCAAAAATTATTATGCACTCACTCCTAATATGTATGTATGTAATTATTTATATATAAACTATGTACTCTGTATTCCTATAAATTGCAATGGCATCAGTGCTGGAGCTAAAAGACTTGTGTTCAAATCTTACCTCTGACACATCTTATCTATGTGATGTTGGGCAGGTCTCTTAACCTCTCAGTGCAATGATCAATTCTCAAGAGCCTTAAGTTATACAGCAACATTGTGCGATGATCAAGTAATATAGATTTAGCTCTTCTCAGCAATACAGTAATCTAAGACAATTCCAAAAGGCTCATGATGAAAAATGCTGTTCACATCTAGAGCAAGAACTATGTAGTCTGAGTGCTAATCAAGGCATTCTATTTTCACTTTAGTTTTTTTTCATTTTTCCCTCTTATTCAGTTTCTTCTTTCATAATGTGATTAATATGGAAATATGTTTTACATGATTACATATATGTAACCTATATCAAATTGCTTACCATCTTAGGAAGAGGAGAGGGGACAAGGGAAGAAGAAAATTTGGAACTCAGAAATGAATGCTAAAACTTCTTTACATGTAATTGGAAAAATAAAATACTATTTTTTTTAAGTCTCTAAGTTATAGAGAAGGTATTGCGTTGGTAGGGCAAGTTCTTCATCCAGGAGTTCCTAATACCAGTGAAGTCACAGGTCCAGTCCCTGTTTTATTTTAAATATATATATATGTATATATATATATATATGTACATGTATGTGTATATATGTAGTACTGTGCTAATAATTATATACCTTATAAAACTTATACAGAAATAGAAATGAGATAAAGATGAAATTATATTATGAAAATAAGTTGACCTTTATAGTATCTGACACCAGTGCCTGTGTCACAGTTAGGTAAAAACCCTCTTAAAGAGCCAACACTTGGGTTAAGAGGAAGCCAGAGGTAACAGGGGGTGTAATAGGGGAGTCTTGACATATTAATAAATAAAGAAGGTGGTGTGACTGTGTTTGAAACAAGTTTATAATTGGCTATTTTAGGAAGGATGGGATGTGACCTATGTTCTCACTCTCTCAGATCAAACATTTTCTAGGATCAGGCCTTGGCTGCTACTTTAGACAAAGCCATATATAATCAGGTGCCAGTGTACTCATTTCATTGTGAAACTGCCCCAAAAATGCAATTCTCACTGCCTAGACAAAGTTTGGGTTTAGTCTGTGCATAATAATGATTAACACAGATGGTCAGAACCTAATATCCAAACAAAGAGGGAAAGAGTAGAAGGAGGTGACAAAGTTAGTGTGGAATTCAGGACTGAAACTGAAAAGTTTCTTAAACTCTATTTGAGGCTTACAGTTTTAATGATGTTTATACTCTATCTTCCAAGTACCAATTTTTACAGTATAACTTAGTTTGCCAAAATACACACACACACACACACACACACACACACACACACACACACACGTCATTAACTAGGAATTTTTTAACCTGGGGCAAGAGGCAGGGAGGTGCCCTGAGTTGCTAGTGGGCTTGGAGGCAGAGCTAGCAGAGCCAGAGAGGCCTTGGGACACTAGTGTGAAAAATCAGTACCTAATCCATAAGAATTTCTCCTTAGCTTGCCTTTCATCTATGTACTCCTCTCTAGCCATAGGGAACCTCAAGACTGTCCAGAGCCCTCTTTACTCTCTCTACATGTACTTACTCTCTTGGTGATAGTATTAGTTATAGTTTCAATCATCTCTTGTTATATGACTCCTAAATCTATACATAATAGGGCACTAGAGATCAGTGTCTGCTGGTGGATATGAAATCCCTAATGCCTATTTATGCAAGCCCCTGCAAATGGAGCTCTACTTAAAATGACAAGACAAAAGTCTCCTTTCATCAGAGAAGGAGAGGAAGATGAAATCTCATCAGTGGAGAAATATGAGCAAAGCAATATACTCAGGAGAGGAGTCAAGAGAGACAGATAGAAACAGATTGGGGTGGAGAGAGAGAGAGAGAGAGAGAGAGAGAGAGAGAGAGAGAGAGAGAGAGAGAGACAGACAGAGACAGACAGAGAGAGAGAGAGAGAGAGAGGCGCTGTAGTGGCTATTGCTGTTACCACCACTGCTTCCCAACCAGGGAGGTTAAACTAAACAGAAAATGCTAATGCAGAAATGACTGTAACTGGTTTTGTTTGGAGAGAGCAACAGTGGTGACCTTGGCCTATCTCTCTCGCTGTTCCCCTTCCTCCCCCTACCCCCCAGTGTCTGTTACAAAGCTTAGTTCTATTTCTTTAAATTTTAGGCTGTTCACCTAGTCTCCACAAGCTGGTATTAAGATAAGACTGTGCTTAACTCAAGGCATTATTGGTTTGTATTTGGTTTCCTTAGAAACAGTTGAGAGGGAGGTTATGGTCAGCTGCACACCAAGTA